GATCTATAAGATCCAATAAGGATTGTTGAGTCGAAGTCAAAACATTTAAGCTTAACCCATTCATTTCAACAATTGCCTTATAGTAATCATCATGAGAGGGATTACAGGAGCATTTTGGATTTCCAACTTCTGCTTCAGAGGAAGAAGAAGACTGTAATTCCATAACAACATCCCCATAATCAGCCGATGATTCTGATTCAGAAGAACTAGTATTAAGTAACAATTTACTTAATTAAAGTCTTAGTTCATTTTCTATGTGAAGCCTACTAAGTTTCTCCTTAGTTCTGCACTTGTTTGCATAGTGGCCTATGCGTCCACATTTGAAACATTTAGCCTCAGCTTTGGGCTTTCCTTTACCCTTTGCTTTAGGAATATATTTCATTTTAGGCTTAGTATACTTTCGAGAATTATCCTTGTCCTTTGAATAACTCTTTCTTTTGGAATACTTCCTTTTATAAGGTTTTTCGACCTTATTTCTTTTCCTAGGTTTAGGATAAGATAAAGGAGTCTGGTAGGCAAATTGATCACAAAATTCACCCACTTCCTTCCGACCAGTGAATCGTTGTGCTTTTAACTGGGATTGTAACTTTAGATCATTACAGAGAGCTAGACCTTCCTGGATTACAATATTTAATAATCCACCATAGGTATAGTTTCTGTAAGGGATAGAGATACCATTATGCATATCTCTAAGCTTCTTCCTGATTCTTTCAGCAAAAAAGGTTGGTAAACCATCCACAAATTTTGCTTTCCAGTGCTCATGATTTGCATCATTGAGTTGGAGAACCTTTGCCAAGAATACATCTTTATACCACCGGAAATGAGTTAAAGATGGACATCTGAGATTCTGTAGAAGTTCACGACTCCGTTCACTATTAGCGCCTTCGGGGCCAACAAAATGTTGGATAATAGTGGTGACGAGGGTGTAAACCGCATCTGGAGCAGGTCCGGGTTGTTGTGTAGCTTCATCTTTAACTATCTTGGTAGCAGAAAAGATTTCAGCTTTCTGAATGTCAGTGAGAACATTATCCCACCATCCTTTAAGGATTCCTGTAAAACCAGCAACAACAAATTTAGCAATGGTTGGGTCAGTATTGTTGTTTATTTTACAAACTTGGCTATACATCAACATTTGATGAATAACTTCGTAAATCTGATAATTAGATTTGCCATCTATGTTCCATTCATAAATGGTCTTTCCATGAAAAGATTTCTGTGTATGGAAATAATCTTCTTCATACAAGATATCTTAAGGTGTGGGTCTGGGATAATAATATCGACTCGGAGCAGGGGCTGTATTGGAGTGGATATTCTTATCATAGACAATTCTGTTTAACTCAGGCAGCTGAGTAAAATCAGTTTGGAAAACCTCAATAGGAGGTAACACATCATCAGAATCAGAACCTATTTCAGATTCATCATGGGATAAAGTCTGAATTTTAAGTCCTTGAATTTTCTGAGTAAGAAGAGTAAGAAATTCTTCATTCTTCTTAGGATGTGAAAGATTGAAGCCTTTAACTTCAATTGCAGGTTTGACCAATGCTTTGGATAAGGAAGCTTCTGGAGGAGAAGATTTATCAGAAATACACTTAGTATTAATTGTATGTAATACTGTGTCTATTCCTGTTTCAATTCTCCCAAGCTGGGACCCTATCGTTTGCAGACAGACATTGGTATAATTGTTTTGTCTGTAAACCTGAGAAATGTCTTTTTTAGTAGCATTACAGGACTGATCAATTATTTTAGGTTGGCTATAAGCCTTGGTTTCCACTTTTGCACCACTATCAGGGTCAATTCGTTTCAGAATTAAATGTTCAGTGGGAGGATGGACAGAGTGATAAACCTTATCTTCGGATGTAGTCCATGGTTTGAGAAAATCATCCAATATGTTTATATTAACAAGAGAATGATTGGTCATAAAAAACCAAGAAACAAAAGGTATAGCCATTTTGCGTTCTTGTAGAAAGTCATAAAATTGAGTTTTAAAAAGCTGTAATTGATTTTGGTCAAAAGCTTTAAAATACCAATTTCTGAATTTTTTATATTGATCCTGTTGAAATTCAGTATTAATGGCAATTCTATCTGGGACAAAATCCATTAAAACTAATATTCATGAGGGTCATTGATGTCTGTAGGATCCTCAAATTGATCCTTGACAGATTCATTTCCGATTCCCATTTCAGATGGAGTTGGGCTGAATTAAATTCCAAATTGGCGACGAGACATACCTATTGGTGCTTTCTCGTAGACTCCTCTTAGAATTTGATTCTGGGATTGCTGTATTCCTTTCAGCTTGAGGTGATTGGAACCAATTACTTCAGGAGGGAGATCTTCTTTTCTGTAATCCGACGAGATCGAATGGCGAGAAGGAGGACAAGAAACATGATAAGGAAGATGACTTCCTTTAGATGATGTAGATTTGGGTAGATCTAATGATTTTCTGAAATTCAGAAAAACATCACCATCCTGATCCTGAATAACACAGTCCAAGCTATGATGAGCAATTGGCTTTGCCGGAACTGCATTAGAAATTGTCTAATGTTCAGGAAATGTTATTTCACTCGAAGGAATCATCCTTTTTGTGGCAACATTTGATGTGAACATATTGGTGTCCCATAACGCTATTACTCCTTGAGAGTCTTTGCGTATGGCATTTGGACACATAGTATCAAGTACTTTGTAATGGATGCGATAAATAACACTTATCACTTCCGATCCAGGTAAATAATCATACCCATAGGTCTGAACACGAAGACTAACTGCCTCAAGGATATTTTTATCTGTTAAAGATAAGTTCAGACTAGGATAGACATTAAAATAAACCGGTCCATGACATAGACTGGTTTCCAGTGCACCCATCAAAGAGGGGTGAAATTTCAGACATCGAGCATCCCTAAGGGTTGCTTGAATACAAGCATCCATACCTAACAAGGTTAAAGGTTTAAAAGTAATTTGAATTAAACCTATATGAATGTACTTATATTTGTGCATGTGCCTCTGAAGGTCACGAGAAGACAACAATCTAATTATTGTGTCTTGAGTGCTTAACTGCATAGTTTGTTCCATGGTCTTGACAGTCCATAGATCAGTCAGATTAAGCATTCCGATTTTGTAAATGTTCTTAGCACTTACTGGAGGGATAGTCCATCTGTTCAATTTATTTTGAACATTGGTCCATTCCACTAATTCAGTATTTTTTACCAATTCTGAATCCTGGTTTTCCTGTACTCCTGAAGAGGAGGAAGAAGATGGTTTTAACATGTCTGTTAATTATTATTAATGCTTTAAGGTCTGCATAGTATAGATATTATAATATTATATAATGAACAGTAAGTTACTATTCTGTCGTCGTTCTGCTTAAGAGAGATTCTATTACTCGTCTGTCAACGATTTATTGGAAACAATACCCTGTGCAGCAATTTAATGCAAAAAGCGGGCTAAACATTCCAACGCGACTTTTGGACGACCCATAATGGAATCTGGGATAAACATAAGTTAGACAGAAAAGTAGGCTTATTGTTCATTACATAATTACGATAATAATCATGCTACCAGTACCTAATAAGCATTAACAATAAAAAGTTAAGCCATCATGGCTCTGATACCAATTATGGAAAGGGATCGATTAATAATACCAACAAATAACAACAATAACAATAAACGATAATATATGACAAGAATAAGAAATTTAAACAGACTTACAGAAAACTTTCTTTATTGAACTTCCAAGTTAGTACAGAGAAATATTACAAAAGAAAGAAAAGGAAATTGAAAGATACATTGAAGGGAAATCTTGCCATCTATTTATACATAGAATGGACTTGAAATTAACATTTTAAAGTCCGCATAGTGCATGGGATCGTGTGCTGGAATAATGCAGTCGGTCGGCCCACCACTAAGTTCTATCTCCTTATCTGATGGAAAGTAGACATCTGATGAAGGAAATACTGTAGAACCAAAGACTTTTGGGAAAAGTTCTTTGTCTTCTTCTGTCGGCAGGATAAGAGGAATCTTTACTTTTTGGGTGGATTCATCTTATCCATCAAGTGACTGGTGAGAGAGTCCCAATAGTCGGCTATTGTAGGCTCATCTTCAAAAATAAGATCTTCATTGGGATCTTGTGCATAACCAGCCAGGAAAACTGATTACCTTCTTGACTGGTCTGGCTAGAGACTGACACTATGGATGCATCATCTCGTACTGTAGGAGTGGAGGAATCAAAAGATTTAACAAATTTGGTCCTCATAAAATCCATGCATTTAACCATTAAATCGGCTTCGGTAATTAATGGTTGTTGTTTTCTGATCATATCTTTAACTAAGGTCAGATTTCTTGGTCATGAAATTTGTGCATAGTATAAATATTATAATATTATATAATGAACAGTAAGTTACTATTCTGTCGTCGTTCAAAGTTCAATTTGTTATAAATAATGTAACATAATTAATTACTTTTAACTTCACAAGGAAGAAATATATACAAGTGGAGTTGCATGGAAACATCCATCCATCCCTCCGTAAAACTGTTTGTTTCAAATTTTACACAAAATATAATTTTATTGATGAAGTAGAAGTTTGAGAACAGGACAAAGCCGGTGGGCTTATCATCAATGTTTTTGTGGTTGGAGTGTCATCATCTGATTTAAAAATTGAAAACTGAAGATTGGTTAGATTTATGAAATTAAAACTTCTTTATTTTATTATTATTATTGATATATATCCAGATTGTTCAAGTTGAATTGTCTGTGTCCATTTTTTGTTGTATTCACGGAATTGCAAATCAAGAAACGTAGAAAAGTCCTTCACGTTTTATGTTGTGGAACAATCTGTCCACACAACCAATTAATTGATGAAACAACTATTCAACTATCATACAGTGCATGCAGTTCTGGATCTTAAATGGGTCATCAACCGCGGCTTTAATTGATCCACTAGTTCCCACCAGTTGTCCATATGACTCACCCAGAACCCCACAGTTCCATTCGACTGACAGTTGATATGTGCCCAAAATAATCAAATACATCTACTTTTCAACATTCAAAACAATCATTCAACAAAAAGTTTTGCTTTCATACATTAATATCGTCAGCAAAATTACTCGCACTTTCATCTACTTAAAAAAAAATCAAACAAGAAAGGTCTATAAAAATATACTCCTCGCGGATGCATCGGCCAAAATTTTGATTTTATATAATATATCCAAAGATAAAAACTTTCAACGAAAAAGTGAAATCCTTCTGCATATCTCATTTGGGAAGAACATAACCCATAATTGTATAGAAGGTCTGAAGCAGAGTGAGAATTAGTAGTACCAATGCGGCAAGAGCTGATATAAATGACCATGGTGTGTCAAAATAAGTGTACTTAAAGCTTGCCCACTGAACATGCCAACTATTCTTGTAATACCCATTGACATCGTTGAACAACCCAGCCAAGTAGCACAATTCTACGTCGAAAGACACGTCTTTTCCCAAATTGTTGATGAACTTCGTGTTGGCACCAAAACTTGGCAGCCACCTCTGGACCAATGGGAAGCCGATAAGGGTTGAGCATGTCCAAGAATGGATCGGCCAGTTTTGAAGATTAGGAGCAAATATAGAAAGATATATTTTAGCCACCTCAGTGGTGACGTGGACCAGCGATGGGCCGACACTTGTTTAGTATGGTTTCAAGAAAAGTCGACCAATTGAGAAACAAGAAGAGAAAATCTTGGAATTTAGCCACCTTATCTAATAAGGTTGTTGCTGAAATTTGGTAATTAATATTTGAGTTAATTCAAATATATTATTTCAGTTTGGATAGAAGAGATTTAGTTGGAATGAGATTCCTATGAAATAGGAATTTCGTTGCAAAGGAATAAGGAATTCAAAGGAGAGGTCGTCACGTGAGGGATAATTTGGGCAAAAGTTATAAATGGTCTTCCAGCCATTTAAGGGAAGTTTTCAGCCTAACTTAAGGAAAGGAGTTGCTAAAAGTTAGCAACTTTCCAGCAACTTTTCAGCATGATTTTCGACAACTTGCATTTGACTTGATCAAGGAGAGATTTCAGCAAGGACTTTCCTATTGAAGCAAGAAAAGAAGAGACGCAAAAAACTACTGGAACGTGGTTTAGTTTGAGTAATAAAGTGAAGAAAATCAAGGAGCAAAGAGATTTTCTAGCAATTAATTAGGAAAATAAGTTGAGATAGAACTTCTATAAATAGAAGTATTGTATTCCATTTCCAATTGGTCCAGCACCACCACAAAACATGCATTTCAACTAAAATGTTTTCAATTGACTCTACGTCATTTTTTCCTATCAATTTCTTTATTTCAATTTAATGGCAATTGATTAGATCATTGTCAACTATTTCAATTCAGCCATTTACTTTCTTTCAATTTCAATTATGCCAATTTTAATTACGCAATTTTAGTTAGGCTTTCAATTCAATGGCAATTGATTAAATTCTTGCCATTGAATCGTAGTGACAATTGATTAAATTTTTGTCATTACTTGGCTGATGGCAATTGATTAAATTCTTGCTATCACGTTTCAGTGGCGATCGATTAAATTCTTGCCATTGTGTTTGGCTGATGGCGATTGATTAAGTTCTCGCCATCACGTTCGGCCGGCGATCGATTAAGTTCTTGCCGCCTGTCTTCACTCGGCCAATCCATCCATTCAAACATTCATCAGCCGTTACATTTCTTTAGACACTCTAAAAAGTCCTTGCTACAAACAAGGCATAAAAGAACCTTGCTGGGAGTTCTTACTAGTCTCTCTCCCACACAATTGCCTGAGAGTCAGCCATCGGAAAAAGGGATAGGCTGGTGTTCAATTACATATTTTGGGTATTTTGTACAAATACTCTGGCACGCCCGCGAAGAGTCCATCGACCGGCGTAGGGAACAAAAACTGCGCGAACACGTTTTGGCACGCCCGGTGGGACTCCTACTAGAGTGTTATAAAAGAGGCAAATATGCCGCGGCGCACAAAAAATTCTAAGGCCGTGGCTACTGATGAAGATTTGGAGGAAAGCGATCAGCCAGTACAGGCTGAGAACTCTGCAGCAGGTCCTACTGATGAGTTAGCCGTACTTCAAGCACAGGTTAGCTCCTTGGTAGATGCAATGGGAAGGATGGGAGCACGCTACAACGACTTGCATGAAAATATGTCCTAACTCTCAGCCTTTTTTTTGAACAAGCCGACTCAAGCTAGCAGCTCCAACAATCAGGAATCGGCTTCTCAGCCGAATCTATCACAAGCTGCTCGGCCAGAGAGGGCCATTGAAACATCACAGCCATGGCCGCCAGTAGTGACACTCCAACCAGGTACAACATCAAGTCAGCCGGTTCATACGCTACTCACCTGGGCAGAAAGCTATCCTCAGCCTACGTTGGCAGGTTCTAATCAGCCACCAGTAGTAGTTTCGCAGCCACAGGTAATTCTACCAAACCCTCATCGGATGCCTTTGAACTCGGGAGGCAATCAGATCAGGTGGAGGCCACCGAACCCACTGTATACTCATGTGCCGCCACAGGTAGGGCTCGGGGGGCAGAATATGGCTAATCAGCCACATGATTGGCCGAATTGCTATCAACCAGCGGCTAATCAGCCGCCAGTTTTTAATCAGGTACCACCAATATTAAATCAGCCACCTCAAGTCATGTTAGATAGAAGACAATTAGCTGATTTACTCACAGAAGAATATGGCCTGGAACTTAGAGGTGCCGGCCGACCAATTTATAGAACTCCTTATCCAGAAGTGGTAGACCAAGTTGAGTTCCCTAGAGGATATAAAGTCCCTGACTTTGTAACCTTTAGTGGAGAGGGGAATCAATCGACCGTGGAACACACTGGCCGATTCACGGTTCAATGTGGAGAGGCCAGTGTTAGCCCGTGGTTGAAATTGAGACTTTTTCCTAACTCTTTGACAGGGGCAGCTTTTTCATGGTATATTCGTCTACCTCCTAACTCTGTTTTTAATTGGCCACAGATGGAGGAATTATTCCACAATTAGTTCTACCGTACGGAGACAGAACCTACTCTGGCCGATTTATCCAGGCTAAGTCAATTGCCTAGTGAATCGGTCGAGACATTCATTGCAAGATTCAGGAGAGTAAGATTAAGATGTCGTGTACCTCTTCCAGAACAGGAGTACATTCGTTTGGCTTTGAACGGCCTTGATTTTGAACTTCGGAAGAGGTTTGAAGGAGTTCCATTTCGTGACATGTATGACCTGGCCGAGAAAGCTACCAGGTATGAGTTGGTTCTCAAAGAGGAGAAAGAACGAAAAAATTCCTCTAAAGGTACGTACTATAGGGACCCCAACTATGAAGTTTATTCAACTGATGTGGTTGAAGAGGAAGATTTTGAAGCTAATTTAGCCGAAGTCATTCTAAAGAAACCTTATGTATGTGACGCTTTAACAAAACCAAATGTATCCACCAGTGGTACTCAGCCATCGACTACATCGGCCAGGAAGGGTATGGCTGATACTGGTAAGGTTTATACGTTTGATCTGGCCAAAACAGAACAAATTTTTGATCATTTGTTGGCCGACAAACAAATCGTTTTGCCAAAAGGACACAATATACCATCGACCAATGATTTAAAAGGAAGAGAGTTCTGCAAATTTCATAATTCATGGAATCATACTACTAACAATTGTTATGTATTTAGAAATGTATTGCAGAAATCTATCGATGAAGGTGTATTGAAATTCCCTGAAAAGAAGCCAGATGTAATGGGGGTCGATGGCGATCCATTTCCTAATATTGTCAGTACCAATGTAATCAGCCTGGCAACTGAAAAAGCCGCTGATAATGGTAGACAGGGAAGATTACCAAAAGTTCTTGGTAGTTCATCGGCCAGTAATGATGAGCAGAAAGTTAAGGACTTGGAAATTCAGTTAAGAGAAGCTCAAATTGCCCTCATCAACCATGGTTGTTGTCCAAATTGCAAAGGCCGAAGGAATGACTCAGACAAGAGGGGCTACTTCCAATCAACCAGAAAGCGCAGTGTCCATGAAAGGTTAGGCCATCAGCCTAGACAGAATCACGAAGAAATCAATCGATTAATATTTAGAGAAAATGGGCCGAGGGCAGTGAGAATCATTCGGTCATCGTTGGCCGATAGAGTCCTGCCAGAACAACATTTTTATCCTAGTTTCAAAAGGAAACCAACAATTCAGTCAGAAATATGGGTTCAAAAAGGAGAAGAATCTAGCCGTGTAAGAACGGTTAGACCTCCTTTGGTTGACCATGGCAGATGGACTCGAGTAAGTCACCCAAAGTTTCCTAAGCAGCCTCCTACACGTACCCAAAAAAAGAGGATGCAAAGGAAAAATGCAGAACTCAAAAGGAAAGAAGACAAGATCGACCATGATCAACTAGAAAGAAAAAATGAACCAATGGTGGCTGAAGACATGGAGGTCGCTACATCATTTGAGAATAAGGCATGTTTTTATGAAGAAAAAGATGATCAGCCCGACCAGGATCCAAAGCATGCGGCCAAGTACAGAATTCGTTTTGGTTCTCTCCCGGATAAGGTAAATTGTAACATGGTATTTGTTTTGCCTTCTGTGTTTGAAGCAAGGATAGAACCAACGGTGGACAGGGATGTTGAGTCAGCCAAGCAGGAGGAAAAGGCTGAATCTTCAGAAATTAAGAACGATTCGACAAGTTCATCGGCCGGGATAGGATTGATCTCTCAGGATCAGCCATCTAAGGCCGATAAAATCATTTTTGAAAAACCACCTTTGTCCATGACACAGCAGTTGAGGCCGTTGTATGTTAAAGTATGGGTTGAGGGTCAGCCAATCAATAGGGTTTTGGTTGACAATGGTTCGGTGGTGAATGTCATTCCATCAACTACTTTGAAGAAATTGGGTAAAACCATGGATGATGTAGTACCAACCGACGTGGCCATCAGTGGTTTTAATGGAGGATCTAGTAACACTAAAGGTATTCTACCTTTGGAAATTACTATTGGCGGTAAGACATCCTTTACGGCTTTCTTTATCATTGATTCAACCGCGGCCTATAATCTCCTTTTAGGCCGAGATTGGATTCATCCTAACATGTGCATCCCATCAACCTTGCATCAAATGTTGATTTTTTGGGACGGAAATGAGGTAAAAATTGTTGAGGCCGATAACAAACCCTTTATAGCTAGGGTGTATTCGGCTGAGGCTGCACTTTATAATGAAACTGTTGTACCTCTCAAGTTTGTTGGCATTAACAGGATGGGACGACCAGCAGCGGCAACAATGAAGAAGAATTTAATTAATGTTGATATTAAAGAATTATTGTCAGAAGCAGCTCGGCCGAAAGTTGATATTTTCAGGTCGACCATCAAGGACATTGAAGATGTTACTGATGGATCACAAAACCAATGAAGAAAAGAAGCGGCAAGCTTTCAGGGCCGCTTGCATCAGACTGAAAGCATATCTGGCTGAGAAGAGACTGGCCAGAGAAGAACAACTATATGAAGAGGTATCGGCCA